GACCAAAGCTGGTACTGGCTCGCCATGTTTACATAAACTTGGCTACGTCTGTACTTGTAATTCGTGCTAAATCATTCGCAGCGCTGTCTTATGGTCGAACCATCACAGAGTATAACCTCTAGTACACGCACGCCCCTGGTGGATTAGTACGGCTGTACTCGCCATTGGGATACGATACCATGCAATCAACCTAGTCACCGAGCCTGACCACTCAATCCATTTAGTCGCCTCTTAAGAGATTGCTGAAGGCCAATATTCTTCCTGGGAATACCCACCTGAAGATGGCCTTTTGTGAAATCAAGAGTTGTCTTTATATCTTTCCGTTGCTACTTTAATAATGCTCGACCGAATGACAAACAGTCAAACACGGTTGTGTCGAACTTTGATGTGTCGAACTTAAGGTTGTCTCGAAATTAAAAGCTTTGCCCCTGCGTATTCCTCCTTTATTCATCATGTTTCGGTTGTGTCGAACTGCGGATAACTCGAAGTATTAACGTAGGTCCCTTCTACTTCGACACAACGATGTTTGACTGCAATTTTGTTTGTTCGAATATGTCACCTTCTATACCACGCGGCCTGATATTTGTGCAGCCCGTCATGATAAAGTTAACATTAGGAAACTACCGAGGCGAAGAAAGATTGGGAAGTTATATCGATAATATTGATCTGTGATTATGTAATATGTGTGGAGCCAAATTGACTGAGAAATGAAAAGTGCTGATCTCTTTCGGTTAGTGCTACGGTTAACAAGAGAAAGTCACAAATCATTGATAATGATCACCGACTGCTTCATGGAATGGATTCCTTTCATGTCTTTTGTTCTGTCATTACTAATGTTCTGTCCTTCAAGGCAAAACAGTTGCTGAAAACATGGTCGAGTTGGAGAGAGGGGTCAAGGTCGAGAAGGCTGGGTTTGTTTGTTGCATTTGTTTGAATGCACTGTGCTAAGACCAAGGACACCCTTGAAAACTTCTCCCCGCGCGCGCACGTGTGCGTGCGTGTGTGCGTGTGTGCGTGTGTGCGTGCGCGTGTTGGTGTCGCTGCAACTGGTCTTTGCATCTGAGCGAAAAATTTCACACGCAATAACAACATACATATTTGTGCACACACATAGTCTACGCTTAAAACTTGCCTGACTTCTTGTAATTAACGTGACATGATGTCGTGTTTTAAACACTCATTATAAAGGGGCCGGTCTTACGTTTGCAATAATCAAAACATGATTTGAGGTATTCACTCATTGCCTTTCTTATTTCGCACGTTGTTTAACGCCGCACCCAGCAATAGTTGCTGCTATATGACAGTCTGTAAATAACCATGTCAGGACCAGACAATCCATTGATTGACATCATGAGCATCAATATATGCAATTCAACTTCCCGAGGCAAGGGAGTTCACTGACTATAAGTCAACTGGACTTGTATAGTGTGTTAAGTCCCTTTCTCGCCCCATAACACAAGCTCCTTCAAAGCGCGTGACACCTTCGTTACACTCTCGGTAACATCGCTGCCACCAGTCACCAGTGTGGGCGCGGCCATTACAAGAATCTTGAAATGTGCCCTCTAACCCCAAATGTAGAACGAGATTGCGTACTAACTTCTCCCTTACATTCTTACTATATCAATTAAATGATAGTTTTAATGAAATAGAAATTTGAACTTGACAAACAAACAAAGTAATTTGGCAGGGTTAAGTGTATTCGGCGTCACGACAGTCGTCACGTGTGTGTAAACATAACGGTCAGTCGGTTGCGAGTTCAACTCCAAGCATGGTTATGGTCATCTATCACTGTGGGGAGTTTTGACTGGTGGCAGCGATAGGGAGCTCCGCGAACAGGTTATCGCTGTGAGGAGCTTATCCCCAATACATTGAAGACGACTCAGTATTCTATGTCATGTGTTTTAAAATGTTTGCCCCCAAATTGTAACATTTTACTGGTATGACAAATATGATGACTTATTTTATATTGGTACCTCAATGCAGTGTTAAGAAGTTAGGTTCGAAACCTTAATATTGAAACACAAAGATGTTTATCATCTAATTGTTGACATGTGGATACAGTGGTTGAGGAATGTTCTAGGTGTTTTAGGTAAAATAACTATGCCCTCACAGTGGCTATGTCAACACTTTAGGTTTCCCTCTCGTGACGACATGGCCGAGATATTTCCTCTGTGGCGTTTATATTCAAATAATTCACCCGTTGAAATTTCACGATCACAGGGTTTGTAAAGACGAAATATGTGTAGGTTGCAGTTTGTTTAACGCCGCAGTCATTTTTGTTTGTTATTTAACGCCGCACTCAGCAATATTCCAGCTATATGACGGCGGTCTGTAAATAATTGAGTCTGGACCAGACAATCCAGTGATTGACAAACTGAGCATCGATCCATGCAATTGGGGTACGATGGCATGCATCAACCAAGTCAGTAGCCTCAGCAATATTTTAACCATATGATGACAGTCTGTAAATTATCGCGTCTTGGGCAGACAATCAAGTATTTCATACCATGAGAAACGTCCCAGACTGTTGATGTACGATACAAAGCAATTTGCCACGTGGTTGAGCGTTGCTACCCGATCGTTGCTAGCCACCCCTAACAGCAAGAATAAGTATGCTTGGTCCAGGTGGCTGGCAGTGGATTTGGCAACCAATATGAGCTTATGTCTTATGCCCCGTTGGTGTGTCATAATGTTTTACTTAATGCTGTAATACAGATTAGGATGGGCAGTTTCACCTCAACTATTATCTCATTTAACAGGTTTGTGTATGTGGACTATTGCACACGCATTAAATTATTTATCCTCTCTTCTCGAACAGTTCAACAAAGAGTAGCTAGCTATGATTCCACTGTAATACAATGCGATTGCATCAGAATCATCGATTGTTCTTTATATCGAGACCAGGGCGGTGGTAGCCTTGTGGTTAAAGCGTTTGCTCGTCACGCCGAAGACCCGGGTTCGATTCCCCACATGGGTACAATGTTTAAAGCCCATTACTGGTCGCGATATTGCTTGAATATTGCTAAAAGCGGCCTAAAACCATACTCACTCACTTATATCTAGACAAAGATGCACAGGACTATTACTAACGGACTTGATTTTACAAAAGTGTGATATCCTGAAGTATATATATTATGACATATAATATTGAAACGTCTTGTATCTTTTAATTTCATGATGAAATTTCCCGCCATTTTGAACTGTTCAGAAACTATTGTTCTATCCAGAAGTACGTAATCATTAACTAGATTGTTTTATATATGGCACTTTAAGAAATACCACAATACTGTTACAAATATTCATCCCGGAGATAAAAAGTCCCATGTACTGAGGGATTAAATGTAATGAAAATAAAAATGTAAACTTGTCTTGAAGGAAATTCTTGGCGAGTGACAGTTTCAGATCCTGAGATAGTCTGTCATACAGACCCTGAAACAAGTATATCCAATACAGCCCATGCAAGTCTATAATGTTTGGCAAGTCTAGATTACTGCAGTATCAGGTTAGTCTCTGGGCTCCTTTTTATTATATTTTATAACTATATTTTGATAACTGTTTTATCTGTAAAATATGATCATTTCAAAGACAAGATATTAGTCCAATCCTGAGACATCAAGATGAGGTTTGTTTGTTTTGCTTGTTTGTTTGTTGTTTAACGCCGCACAATATTCCAGCTACATGGCGGCAGTCTGTAAATAATCGAGTCTGGACCAGACAATCCAGTGATTGACATCATGAGCAACGACCCACGCAATTGTGATCGATGACATGCATCAACCAAGTCAGCGAGCCTGACCATCCGATCCCGTTAGTCACCTCTTACGACAAGCATAGTTGCCTTTTACGGCAAGCATGGGTTGCTGAAGATCTATTTAACCCCGGATCTTCACGGGTCCAAGATGAGGTATTTCTGAACGATGATTGAAAAGAGGTAAGAGAAACCTGTCGTATGACGAGCGTATTATTTTTTTCACTTCTGTAACAAGAACTGCCATTAAACATAAATCGCTAATATATATTTGCAGTTAGATACGTTCATACAAGACATAGCACCTCGACTCACGCCCTATCGTAATCCACCACACCGTTAGACGATATTTGGATGACCTCCCACCTCGAGATAATTAGTTAATGTTGTTTTACACCGTTGTCAGCAATTTGCAAGTCCTAATAAAAACGCCTCACATTATTTGTGTCTGAGGGGCGGTCGGGTAGTCTAGTGGTTAAAGCGTCCGTTCGTCACGCCAAAGACCCTGGTTCGATTCCCGACATGGGTACAATGTGTGAAGGCCATTTCTGGTGTCCCCCGACGTGATATTGCTGGAATTTACTCACTATTTGTGTCTAGAACAGAGGAAACAGCGGCTAGTCGCGGGAGCAACGATCCACTCACTCACTATGACAAAACAACATCGAAATCAAACACTGTAGCTGGTTGCACACCCCGCGAAATAACATCGAAACAATGCTTCTGTTGATGAAAGATGCATCTTTAGGACTCACATATTTGTATATGGGATATAAGTATCTGCATTTCGAGATTGAATGGCGATCATGCCGTAGCGTTTAACAAAACCTAGTTGTTTTTGATAAAACAGATAAGTCCACGTGCGTCCATTTTTTCAAGATTTATTGTCAAGCATGTCATTTAACCAAGGATAAGTGAATCCTATAAAATCGATAGAATGTGAGGATTGAAAACGGGACTGAGTCATCGTTTCAAGCACATGTTTACACCCGTAACCTCCGCAACGATTGATAAAATATGGATATTGACAGGAAGAAGCTTGCATGCATGGTTGCAGGAATCAGACAAACGATTGGTGAGATCACACGTCCCTGATTGTTATATCCAGATAGCTGTCAGGTGGGCTATCCGTCCCCAAACATTTAAATATATTCAACACAACATCCTTGTTTGAAATACTGTCCAATTACTGAGAGGTATTGGCGTAAAGGTATAGAAACATGTGACACAATAATGCAGTGTCATGGTAACGGGGGTTACTTATGGGGATGCGCGCTGTGCCAAGTTGCAGTTCCTACCCAACATTCCACATCAGTGTTTTCCGTCTTAATCATCAATGATGTCGAGACAGGGCGTAGCTGCTCTCCTTCTGGGTGAGTTAAGTTGAAAGATAGTCATAGTATTGTTTATGCACGTGCTAGTGGGACATAACTCTCTCTTTCTATCTCACTGTTAAGTATTATAAATGTCTCGTTTTAAACACAAGAATAATGTAATCGTCATATCTTTTACAGATTTCTTTTTAGTTTATTCCTGCTGAGAAAGTCTCAAGGATTTTAATGATTTTTAAAAAAAGATTATATTTAACAAATTCTTATTTCAGAATTTACATTTGCGTAAAATTAATACTGATGGTTTTATATCAACCACCTTTGAACACATGTTTCCATGGGGACATGATCAGTGTAGATGCCACAAGTACAGGGAATAACCTTCTACTTATCCATGACTATAGTGTTTTATTATTCGATATTATCGTGTTAACATTAACTTTTTTAGGAGCGCAGTAACGTTTGCGCGCACGCACGCACGCACGCACGCACGCACGCACGCACACACACACACACACACGTGTCACGTGTTACATGTAGCAATGACATGTAACGTGCTCACATGTTTAATATCCCTTCTGAAGTAAGGTCATTATGAGACAGAACAGTGTTTTCATGACTCATCATTTGATTTGTATCAGAGAAGCATATTGAGATTCGCCTATGTATATATATATATATATACAGATTATTTAGACCCGATGTCATACACGGCGACTAAATTGGATCAGCTTGGTGACTATCGTAACCCGAGGCGGGGCGTTTCTCAAAATGTCAACCACAGCTATATCTAGGCCGCAGTGATGCAGCCCGAGTACTGCTGACTGTGACTAACATTCTTTTGTAATTTTTTTGTAACAGATTTCATTTTGTTTCCAGTTTTCTTTCCCGTCGCCTTGTCAAAGACTTGCACTGTCTGCATGACAGAGTATGCCGGAGACAAGACTAATGCGGGTACAAACAACACTCAAAAATGCACGTGAGTGAATTTGTTTGCGCAATAAGGGTGTATACCCCAAGGTAAGCAGAGCTTTAATTTGTGTTCTAGTATGTTGTTAAATGTTTGAAGGCGAGATTTATTTTACAACTTACTCTTGGTTTTACCTTTAAATGAATCAGTTCCTGATGTCCAGGTTTGAATATTTACATGTATCCTTAACTGCTGCTCTGTGTCAAAAGTTCACAAGTGAAACATTTTAACCATCCTCTCTACTGTCAGCAACTTTTTGATGCTAATGAAAGACGAAACAATGAAAGTAAAGGATACTAAGGGGACGAATAGCTGGCTTAGAGTTAGACGTTAACATAAAAACTCGCTGGAGTTGATGAAGTGAGGTGAGGTGAGGTGAGGTGAAATGGGGTTTTACGTCGCGTCCAAGATTATTGCACTCACATAGCGACGTGCATGTACGTGTGTGTGTTTGTGTGGCTGCTTGTACTGGTCCGGACTGATGCCGATTTATAGTGCTAGCTCACTGAGATACCATGCCGCAGTTTAACATGAATACCCCACTCAGACACAGTATACTGACTCCGAGCCGACCAGTCCTTGTTTTAGCCCCTTAATGCCGAGCGCCAGACAGGGTAACAACAAATACCATCTTTTAACGTCTTTTGGTATGACGCGGCCGGGAATCGAACCCCGGACCTTCCGCTCTTCGGGCGGACGCTCTACCACTAGACCGCGGAGGCGGTCCTGGAGTTGATGAAGGAATAATGTTTAAGGTCTGCAAGATGCATCATCGACAAAGGATTCCTACGTGCACAGATAAAATGTCGCTATGATCACACCCGTGGGATTTCGGGTGGGAATTTAGGTACCCAGCAAACTATGCATTGTCTGTGTGAAATGATATACATTATATACGTACCCGAGGAATACGAATTTTAATTAAATGAGACTAATTAGTATGAAACCGAACTGTGATGGATAACGTTAGAAGTAATCAAGTTCTGTAATAAACTTCACTTGACATTTTCCCATTGATTTGCTCTAGGTACAAGATAATAACTGATTATAAAAGTTCATCTGAAACAGCTTGACCGACAGCATGTTTTACAGTACTTTAACACCCGTGAAGATTCCGGGGTAGAATAGGTTTTCAGCAACCCATGCTTGCCGTAAAAGGCGACTATGCTTGTCGTAAAAGGCGACTAACGGGATCGGGTGGTCAGGCTCGCTGATTTGGTTGATGCATATCATCGATCCCAATTGCGTGGATCGATGCTCATGATGTCAATCACTGGAATGTCTGGTCCAGACTCGATTATTTACAGACGGCCATCATATAGCTGGAATATTGCTGAGTGCGGCGTAAAACAACAAACAAACAAACAAATGAAGGCCGACTTGTGTTTCGTGTCTTGATGGAGTGGTATTTGCCAAAAGGCACGTACGAAGACACTAAAAGCTCAAATCGTGGTCGAGGGAAAACAAACAAACAAGCATTACTTTAACGCAACGATGTGGTGTTTATTTGTAATATAATCCGGGAAAAATGAAAAATATATGTCACTCACATGATGCAACCTAAGTAGTGCCGTAAGAGGCGACTACACATGAGTCGGTTACTAGTAGTGAAACTCGGTGACTTGGTTGATTTTTACACCCGGGTCAGAACTGGTCTTCAGCAACCTATGCTTGTCGAAATCGGCGTCTAACGGGTTCATGTAACCGTATACTAATTACGTGACCATATGCTCATGACTCCAGACGCCGTGATATAGCTAGGATGTTGAGGAGTGCGGCGTTAAACAAACTAACAAACATGCATTTGAGCGGTCCAACGCGCATTCATTGAATTATTTGAACTCATATCTGGATAAAGGAGGAGTTGTTGTTTCTTCTGTTTTAGTGCCCTCAGCACCTACCTGACTTGTCTCGAGACCTCTGCTAAAGGTGAAGCTGGGTGTCCACTAACAGGTGCTGACGCAGGCGCCATCGAGACTGATTACACAGGCGCCGCTTGCTGTAAGTCCCTAGACATGTATATGGAAATGCATTTGAAAAATCTGGGTCTTTTAGCGGGACCAGTGATGTTGTGTCAATGGAAAACTGCATTGTGGACTGTGGCTACGATAAAGATTATGTAAACAATACTGTTTCTTCTCAACTAACGAGATCGGCGGGTGAGTCAAGGTGTTAAAGCGAAATCTCGTCACGCCCGGGTTCGATTCACCGCATGTGATGCCCCTAATATGATGCTTCTGGAAGCTCACTCTTGTTAATTAAGCTTTGAGCTTTGGTGAATTAATAATTGTGTCATTTCTACGCTGTTTGTGTGCACTCATCTATATGACGGCGGTCTGTAAATGATCGAGCCGGAATTCCCTCGTGTCAGGATGGTTGGGTAGTCTCGTTGTGTGGCTGTTTGTACTAGTCCGGCCTATTGCCGGTTTTATAGTGCTAGCCCACTGAGCTACCATGCCGCAGTTTAACGTGAATACCCAACTCAGACACAGTGTACTGACTCTGAACCGATCAGTCCTTTTTGTACGTACCCCCTTGATGCCGAGCGTCAGCTACGGTAACAACAAGTGCTATCTTTGATCGCCTTTTGGTATGACGCGGCCGGGGCCCGAACGCCGGCCTTCCGCTTTTCGGGAAGAAGCTCTTTCCACTAGACCACGGAGGCGATTAGTGACGTCTAGAGTATATAGAGAAGGGAAACCGTAATTTGATGACCTCGGCCTGTAATTAATCGACCCTGGTCCAGACAATCACGTCATTGATATTATGATCAACGTCCTACGCCATCGTTGAACGACGACCCACAATCGACCAAATCACCGGGCCTGGCCACCCGATTATATACATTCTCCTCTTACGACCAGCATAGGTTAATGGGGAACCATTCTAACCGCCCGCCTCCGTGGCCTAGTGGTAGAGAAACGCCCGGCGAGCGGAAGGTCCGGGGTTCGATCCCCGGCTGCTTCATACAAAAAGACGTTAAAAGGTGGTACTTGTATTTACCCTGCCTGGCGATAGGCATTAATGGGCTGAAACAAGGACTGGTCGACAGGGAGTCAGTGCACTGTGTCATTTTAAACTGCAGCATGGTATAAAATCAGCATTAGTCCGGACTAGTACTAGTAAACGCACTCATAAGGTACCCTGTATCTAAGCGAAGCTCAATTGTTGTAACTACATAACAAATTATTCCATCCTAGACGCAAAATGTGCTTTGTTATTCATTGGCAAGACGACTGATGAATTAAACTTATTAGTAATGTATAATTATCACCGAATCCTACAATTAGGCTATTAGAATGGGATGTTGTGTTCATATTCGTAATATAAAATCATAATCAGTTAACAACAGTTCAGTTTGTTGTAAAATGTTAAATCCACAAAAACTAAAAAGAAGTTATGGTGTGTGTTATGAAACATATTCTTTGCACACCCTAACGCTTGATGAGTGATGACGTATGGCAACAGTGACACAGGACAACAGTGGACAAGTGTCCAATATGAAGACATTACACTGAAAATGACAAAGTCAAGAACATGAGAACTCTGTCAGCCGAAGGATTTCTACAGAATAACTTTGGGTTGTCACGGCAAATAGTACTACAGGATTGGGAGAAAATCCCACATCATTACGCTGCCACCGTTTTTGTTGGCTCTCCCATCAGTTCAGTACCGCATAAATCGCTATACTCAACGCTGTTCTAATACTGTAAATATGGATAAAACAAAGTTCTTGTTATAAAACGGTTGTAACGTATCAATAAAAGACAAAATGTCATTATCAAAAGAGTATCTAAAGATATTTTGTCATTTTATTAATACGTAGGTGTATATTTTATAACAAAACTAACTTGGTCAAATAATGCACGTAAACAAATAGTAGGCATTTTAAAATGTCTTAGAGTTTTTGACAATATTACAATGCTGACGTTCAAATATTTGATGCAAAGTAAGCCTGATTTATATTGTATGGATCAGATACGTGGGGCCTGAAACATTGATATATATATGCATGTAAATAGCTTTCTTAAAATCTAGCACACAGCACTCAAGGCTGGCATGATGATTGTGGAAGGGTTCTCATGTACGAGGGGCGTTCAGTAAATTTTGCAACTTCAATATAAGACCAAGTAACAGCATATCTTTTGCACTTGTATTTTTCAATATAATCTTCATTCACCTCAATACACTTATTCCATTTGTCCTTCAAGCTTTTAATACCACTTTTATAGAAATCTGCAGATTGGCCCTCTAACCACACCTCTGTGGCAGCCTTTATGTCCTGGTCATCCTAGAAGCGTCCTCCACGTAGTGCAGATTTCATTTGCCAGAACAGGAAATAGTCACTAGGTGCTAAGTCTGGGCTGTAGGGTGGGTGATTTACCTGTAAAAATCAGTTACAGTTACAGTTAACTGTAACTTTGCAGAATTGGATAGATCGTAACATCGTTTAAGTAAATATCGTATTTAAAACATCGAACACGGCGCGTAAGTATGGTTTATTTGCACTTTAGTCCTGTCTGTCAATTTCAAAGGCAGAAACGAAATACAGCCTGGCGGATATAGGATTGAATATTTTGAAAAGGGAATTTACTTTATTCTGTTACAGCGGAAACGTTCACTGAAACCTGTGTTTGTCAGAAGACCTTCTGGGGGACTGTCCAGGCAGATGAAACTGCTACCTGCACGTGAGTATGCCAAATACATGTATATCTTCACGTCAAAGCAGCGGGGCACTGGTGTCCCTGTCGTCTAAGGCGCCGCGATTCGCCGTGCAGAGTTGCGTCCCTTGGTAGACACGCCAGAAACCTATGATTGTGAGTTCGAATCCCGGCTCGCCCCGATTATGTTTCTAGGTTTGTCAGCACCATACCCGTGCTCTAGGATTTCGACGAAGTGGTAAACGTCTGAGACCTGCATCACTTAGGGCTTTCCTCCCACATTAAGCTGACACGCCGTGATATAACTGGAATACTGTTAAAAGCGACGTTAAATCCAACTCCCTCACTCACTCACTCACTCACTCACATCAAAGCATAACTGGTGAGCATAAGCGACCATAACACAACCTCTCTACATCAACTTCATCAATTGTCACGTTCACTTTCTGATACATGCTTTAAAAAATATGTTTTAGCTCTTTCTTGAATATGAGCAACTGCATGGATAAATAGTGATTATTTCATGTAAGTCAAGGCGTTCTTGAATTGACGTGTGTAATACTTCATGGGTTTAGTCTTGTCGGATATACCTTTGGTTTTATTCATGGGCAGAATGAGTACTAGTATTTATCTCGACTAGTCTAAACTGTTTAATATTTTCCCCCAATTGGATCGAGGATTTAAAAAGGAATTGTATATTCCGTGCCTGGAATCTTTCAGGCACGGAATATACTATTCCTTTTCGCGATCGAATTTTGCTGCATTTGCCTGCCATATGTGAATTGTGATACCATGAATGGCAACTTTGCACTCAAGATGATGAATTAGTTTTTGGCACAGAGAAAATAACTGATAAAATCACTGAATAGCTGAATGAATGTGCACAGTTACGCCCCTTAACCACCAGGAAGCGCTGGGTGTGGTACTTGATCTCTCAGCACAATATCCGTCTACGAACTTCGTCACTTTGAACTTTCCTCGTACATTACGCTGACACGTCGTGGTATTGTAACTGAAATGTTGTTGAAAGCGACGGTTAAATCCCAGCCTACTCACTTCTGAATTTCTTTGGGTTAACAGTATTTCAGTTATGTTAGAGCGTGCCAAATTTATGTTGGGGGAAAACAAAAGAGACGCAGGTCGTGGACGTTTGCTCCTTTGGTACAATCCATCAACACCACCAACAGCGGATCCTGACACGGCTAAGGGACACCACTATGAACAACAAATGGTGTCTTTAGACCACTTATACACCAGAACCCCCCACTGTACTTTACCCTTGTCCACAGGGAAGCCAGGAAGTACCTGACTTGTCTGAAGGGGAAGACTACTATGACTTGTGACGGCACTTCCTCTGTTGCTACTCTGACTGCTGGTGTGGAGACAAGGATGAAGGCACTCACTGGATGCAGTATGTACCCTTCATTGTATACTCCCAATGGATAGGAGAATCACATTTGAAAGCACACTGATGGATGGCCTATTATAATACATATGTAATAATTGATTTGAAAAGGATTTGGGGGTGTTTATGTCACTACCGCAAAGACTACCGTCAGTGAGTGCCGAATATTCTTGACTGACTTGTGTGGATCTTAAGCCAGAGGCATTTAAACCAGTCACAAATCAAAAATCAAATCAGTTTTCCAGTTCAAATCTCATACATGCTGTCATCGCTTTACCACTCAACTGAAGGTGTTACCCCACTGATTATGTTATTATAGTACCGACCTTATAGATCATATTTCATTACCACCTGATTGACGTGAACGATTGGTCGAAGGTCGTGTTTTGGAGCTTGTGCAGAGTACCGCCCGTTTGCTGCCAGGCCCCGCTTTCCTGCATTCGAAATAATAATCACTATGTGACTGGGATAATGCACATGCGATTTTTAAGCTAACACTTACACTGGAAACACAGAGCAAAGAAAGCCAACCTTTTCCTAATCGTGTTAATCTGTGATGATGTTTACGAGGATGTTTGGTGTAATTCTTTTTATATCTTGAGATGGTTGTAGAAAGCATATGTAAAATTTTACGAGGGGCGTTCAATAAGTTTTGCAACTCCAATATAAGACCAATATGATCTCCATTCACCTCAATACACTATTTCCATTTGTCCTTCAGGCTTTTAATACCACTTTTATAGAAATCCGCAGATTGGCCCTCTAACCACGCCTCTGTGGCAGCCTTTATGTCCTCGTCATCCTGGAAGCGTCTTCCACGTAGGACAGATTTCATTTGCCGGAACAGGAAAAAGTCACTAGGGGCTAAGTCTGGGATGTAGGATGGGTGATTTAACTGTTCGAATCCACATTCCCATATGGCGGCCTGAGCATTTCTCGACTTGTGAACCGGAGCGTTGTCATGCAAAAGTAGAATACCACGTGTTAACATCCCTCGGCGTTTCTGGCAAATAGATTTTCGCAATTCTTTCATTACATTAGCATAATACTGTCCATTGATTGTAGTTTTTGGCGGCATGTAATCAATCAGTAATAAGCCTCTTGCAACCAAAAATATGGTGGCCATTACCTTGCCAGCCGATGGTTGAGTGCCAAACTTCCTCGGAGGCGGAGAATTGGGGTGCTTTCATTGCATGAATTCCAATTTAGTTTCTGGGTCCCATTGGTGGATCCATGTTTCATCACCTGTCACTAGACGAGAAAGAAATCCGGCTTCATCAGCAGTATAGGGATCCAGGAGGTCTCGGCAACTTTCAGTTCTCTGATGGCGATCTTGAGCTCTGAGGTTTCTTGGTACCCATCTAGCAGGTACTTTGGATATACCAAGATGCTCATGAATAATGGTTCCAACAGTTCCAACTGATATTTGGAATTTACACTGGTAGCATGTGATAGGATGTGACACGCCATGTTGCAAGATGTGTGAAGGGCCTGGTAGCATGTGGTAGGATGTGACACACCATGTTGTAAGGTGTGTGAGGGGCCTGGTAGCATGTGGTAGGATGTGACACACCATGTTGTAAGGTGTGTGAGGGGCCTGGTAGCATGTGGTAGGATGTGACAGACCATGTTGTACGGGGCCTGGTAGCATGTGGTAGGATGTGACACACCATGTTGTAAGGTGTGTGAGGGGCCTGGTAGCATGTGGTAGGATGTGACACACCATGTTGTAAGGTGTGTGAGGGGCCTGGTAGCATGTGGTAGGATGTAACAGACCATGTTGTACGGGGCCTGGTAGCATGTGGTAGGATGTGACACACCATGTTGTAAGTAGTGTGAAGGGCCTGGTAGCATGTGGTATGATGTGACACACCGTGTTGTAAGGTGTGTGAAGGGCCTGGTAGCATGTGGTAGGATGTGACACACCATGTTGTAAGTAGTGTGAAGGGCCTGGTAGCATGTGGTATGATGTGACACACCGTGTTGTAAGGTGTGTGAAGGGCCTGGTAGCATGTGGTAGGATGTGACACACCATGTTGTATGGGGCCTAGTAGCATGTGGTAGGATGTGACACACCATGTTGTAAGTAGTGTGAAGGGCCTGGTAGCATGTGGTGTGATGTGACACACTGTGTTGTAAGGTGTATGAAGGGCCTGGTAGCATGTGGTAGGATGTGATACACCATGTTGTAAGGTGTGTGAAGGGCCTGGTAGCATGTGGTAGGATGTGACACACCATGTTGTAAGGTGTGTGAGGGGCCTGGTAGCATGTGGTAGGATGTGACACACCATGTTGTAAGGTGTGTGAGGGGCCTGGTAGCATGTGGTAGGATGTGACAGACCATGTTGTTCGGGGCCTGGTAGCATGTGGTAGGATGTGACACACCATGTTGTAAGTAGTGTGAAGGGCCTGGTAGCATGTGGTAGGATGTGACACACCATGTTGTATGGGGCCTAGTAGCATGTGGTAGGATGTGATACACCATGTTGTAAGTAGTGTGAAGGGCCTGGTAGCATGTGGTGTGATGTGACACACAGTGTTGTAAGGTGTGTGAAGGGCCTGGTAGCATGTGGTAGGATGTGATACACCATGTTGTAAGATGTGTGAGGGGCCTGGTAGCATGTGATAGGATGTGACACACCATGTTGTATGGGGCCTGGTAGCATGTGGTAGGATGTGACACACCATATGTTGTAAGGTGTATGAGGGGCCTGGTAGCATGTGGTAGGATGTGACACACCATGTTGTATGGGGCCTGGTAGCATGTGGTAGGATGTGACACACCATTTTGTAAGGTGTGTGAAGGGCCTGGTAGCATGTGGTAGGATGTGACACACCATGTTGTAAGTAGTGTGAAGGGCCTGGTAGCATGTGGTAGGATGTGACACACCATATGTTGTAAGGTGTATGAGGGGCCTGGTAGCATGTGGTAGGATGTGACACACCATGTTGTATGGGGCCTGGTAGCATGTGGTAGGATGTGACACACCATTTTGTAAGGTGTGTGAAGGGCCTGGTAGCATGTGGTAGGATGCGACACACCATGTTGTAAGTAGTGTGAAGGGCCTGGTAGCATGTGGTAGGATGTGACATACCATATTGTAAGGAGTGTGAGGGGCCTGGTAGCATGTGGTAGGATGTGACACGCCATGTTGTAAGGTGTGTGAAGGGCCTGGTAGCATGTGGTAAGATGTGACACACCATGATGTATGGGGCCTGGTAGCATGTGAAAGGATGTGACACACCATGTTGTATGGGGCCTGGTAGCATGTGGTAGGATGTGACACATCATATGTTGTAACGTGTGTGAGGGGCCTGGTAGCATGTGGTAGGATGTGACACACCATGTTGTATGGGGCCTGGTAGCATGTGGTAGGATGTGACACACCATTTTGTAGGGTGTGTGAAGGGCCTGGTAGCATGTGGTAGGATGTGACACACCATTTTGTAAGGTGTGTGAAGGGCCTGGTAGCATGTGGTAGGATGTGACATACCATATTGTAAGGTGTTAGGGGCCTGGTAGCATGTTGTGAGATGTGACACACCATTTTGTAATGTGTGTTAGGGGCCTGGTAACATGTGGTAGGATGTGACACACCATGTTATAAGATGTGTGAGGGGCCTGATAGCGTGTGTCAGGATCTAACTCGCCATGTTATAAGATGTGTGATTGCCTGGTAGCGTGTGTCAGGATCTAACATGTCATATTGTTAGATGTGTGATGACCTGGTAGTGTGTGTAAGGATCTAACATGCCATGTTATAAGATGTGTGATTGCCTGGTAGCGTGTGTCAGGATCTAACATGTCATATTGTTAGATGTGTGATGACCTGGTAGCGTGTGTCAGGATCTAACACGCCATGATGTAAGATGTGTGATTGCCTGGTGGCGTGTGTCAGGATCTAACACGCCATGTTGTAAGATGTGTGAATGCCTGGTGGCGTGTGTCAGGATCTAACAGGCTATGTTATAAGATGTGTGATTGCCTGGTAGCGTGTGTCAGGATCTAACACGCCAGGATATAAGATGTGTGATTGCCTGGTAGCGTGTGTCAGGATCTAACATGTCATATTGTTAGATGTGTGATGACCTGGTAGCGTGTGTCGGGATCTAACACGCCATGATGTAAGATGTCTGATTGCCTGGTGGCGTGTGTCAGGATCTAACACGCCATGTTGTAAGATGTGTGATTGCCTGGTAGCGTGTGTCAGGATCTAACATGTCATGTTGTAAGATGTGTGATTGCCTGGTAGCATGTGGCAGGATCTAATACGCCATGATGTAAGATGTTTGATTGCCTGGTAACGTGTGTCTCAATAATCTGCATTGGTAGGATTGTGATCGCGGTGATGATTCACTGTATTTGACCGAACCACCATGTGCTACAGCGTATTTCATGCCTCTGTAGTTATGTTTTCGAACGTATCATCACCACAGTGGACAGGCGCGGCAATATATAGAGTTGTGTCCCCCAACTGTGTCAGGATCCGCTGGGAGATTTCTTTCCCGGATTATAATCCTCGGGTCCCTTAACAAACAGGAAAAAAACACTCTTTAACCTGTAATCCCACCTTCGGCTTGAAGCCGTGATTTAAATGAAATAATATAAAATAATTCCGCGTTGAACCTAACTCACTCACGCGTTGTATATTTCAGCTGTCAGTCCCGCCTGCCAGTGTCAGATTAACGCCATGAAGGCTGACATGTCAACAGACGCCAAGAAATGCACGTGTGTATAATTGAGTTAAAATGTAGTTCCAATCACATCACGATCACTCTTAAAATGAAACATAAAGATGACATATATAAAAGCTTACTACATATGCGTCGCTATAGGGCTGAAATGCGACGTTAATTTTTAACTCAATCACTAGCATGTATGTATTTATTACATATTTGTCAGCGCCTACAAGACCCAGTATGCCTGCCTGTATGGGTTGAGTACCGGGGGCACGTGTGATACAGGGACGACTCTCACCGCTCTGAAGACTGCCGCTGCAGCTTCTGTCACTGGTGCAACATCATGCAGTGAGTGTTGTTGATGCAGGGGCGTTGTTAAGCAACCTTCTAGCTTTTCTATATTACCTCTGATGCATATGTTCACTGACTGATTCAGTAAAATTACATTGACAAATCACATCAGCTTAAAGAAATCGTGACATTTGTTTACATAAAATAGGTTCATTTACTTTAAAGAATAGTTATTGATTTAAGCATCTATTCTTTAAAGCGTTCGATGACACATGTGCATGTCAGAGAAGCTACGACGCGGCCGCCAAGGACAACGCTGCAGCACAATGCACGTATGTAATTATAATAACCATTACCATCTCACCAGTCACAGAAGTATTGTGAAAATAGTTTGGTTATCATTGCAAATGCCTGTGCACTCAAAAACTACATCCATAAAAATTAGGTAGGGGGTGTTGTTTGTAAACAGTTATTAACAGGGAGGGAGTCTTTTGAAAAACACATCCGACTGAAATACATGTAATATAACGTGTAATATACACACCTGAAAACATGTTAAGCACCTCCTGCCATAAGATGTCACCAATGTCAACTGAAATGACAATGATGAGTATGACAAGAATGGTGTTTCATCGTTAAGATGGGACAGTTGGTGTTTGCCAGTGACGTCAGAAATCACCATGGCATATACGTGCAGCATTCCACTCATGCATTTCTCTAAAGTAGGTATTTAAATCCGCAGTCTTGCAATGTTTAGTCAGTCCCTGTGTACAGGAATGCATCCTACAGGGTTGTCCTTCACAGCTATCGCGTGTTAACTTGGCTATCATTACACAGTAGTCTGTTTGGTCTAACCAATGCTGTGATCAGATCGCTGTTCTTATCTCGTATAGCTCCACAAAGATGGCGACCACCACATATAGGCGACGACTTAGTCAATCAGATAACGAAAACATTTGCTATTTCATCCAACATGACACAATCACATAGGCAATCTTTTGGGGTTTAAAAGATGAAAGATTTTCGTGTCAACAAAGGCAGCGGGTAAATCATTTTCATTCCAAGGTGTACCAGTCGTGGATGTTGATTTTGTGAAACGTTCTTTGATTGGACTATAGATATGGGCGATAGTCCAATCATATTTAGCACAGAAATATGGGCTTGATGTGGGAAGGGTGGAAACAAGACTTTGATAAAAAGTCTAGTTGACACTCTTGCCTCGGGAAGATACGATTAGTACAACGACAGCCATATACAGTGAGGAGCTGTCCTGAAGCAACAATGACTGCCCAATCATTATCCGTCCAGCAGAACGTTCCAGAGCAACAGGAAACGCGTCATCAAACGCTCCCGACTGGCGGATCACCAGCAGAGTTCCGTTTGGTATTTTGTTTTTAGCGCGACGGAATCTGAGACCCTGGAGGAAAATCCATTAGTCGGACGAAAGCAGGTTCCCGACGCATGTCTGGGGTTTTGGAGGAGCATACAGTACAGAAATAAATAGAATATGTACATCAAGAAAGTTGTGTGCGTTTAAATTTAGCAGTGGTAAATACAAATAATACATATTTTGATAGACGTTTAAGCTCGTTTAGTAAAGTTATTGAAAATAGGCTTTTTATTGAAAACACATTTCACCAACTTAAATATCTGCTAGGAATAGTGAAAGTCGATTGTTATCAAAAGCTTGACAAAGAAATATATAATGGAATTCATCAGCTATTGCCGTTACAGAGTGAACATAGACGTTGTTCTCTGGTCAGTAATTTCATTCCAGCACTGTTTTCATTAGTCACTGTGGTGCTAAACATTTTTCCAGGCGTATAATTATCTGAGCCTTTATTAAGCCTTGGTGTATTATATATATGTATATATAGGATAAAGCACGTTCGAGGGTTTTTATCTGCGGGATAAGGGTGTTAGATATGATAACAACCAGAGGGAAATGGTTTTATCTAACTTATAAACAGAAAAAAGAAACTTATTACAACATTTATAAACTTTTATATGTTTTAAACACTTTCCATGAACCTTAGGAAACGGGCGTAAAATATATGTTGCTGGCGTGGGAAGGGTGGAAACAAGAAAGATTTTCGTGTCAACAAAGGCAGCGGGTAAATCATTTTCATTCCAAGGTGTACCAGTCGTGGATGTTGATTTTGTGAAACGTTCTTTGATTGGACTATAGATATGGGCGATAGTCCAATCATATTTAGCACAGAAATATGGGCTTGATGTGGGAAGGGTGGAAACAAGACTTTGATAAAAAGTCTAGTTGACACTCTTGCCTCGGGAAGATACGATTAGTACAACGACAGCCATATACAGTGAGGAGCTGTCCTGAAGCAACAATGACTGCCCGATCATTATCCGTCCAGCAGAACGCTCGAGAGCAACAGGAAACGCGTCATCAAACGCTCCCGACTGGCAGATCACCAGCAGAGTTCCGTTTGGTATGGTGTTTAGCGCGACGGAATCTAAGACCCTGGAGGAAAATCCATTAGTCGGACGAAAGCAGGTTCCCGCATGTCTGAGGGTTTGGAGGAGCATGATTGCTGCCTGTACAACCAGAAACATCTCCCTTATTGGTGAGGCTCGGTATTGATTTCCGGGTTGTACCTCACACGATTGCGAGCTGGTCACCATGTAAGGCGACGTCTTAGGTAATCAGTTCATGTTATCAGATGTCCTGAAAACAGTTGCCCCTCCCCATTTCGACAACCACCCACTCGCCACAGAACTCAGTTTGTGGATGATAAAGACCCCATCGCGCTGGGCAGTGACAGCTTTCCTCTAGAACAACGCTAAGACGACTTGGCCCTTAAAGTGTCAAGATCTGAATCCACTTGGGCACATTTGGGACATCCCTGGGCGTCGTTAGAGGCACTGGAGCCTCCTGTACAGAATCTGCGTGAATTGGAAGCAACTTTCGATCGGGAGTGATTGCAGTTCCCCTTTAGTAGATCCGACGTCAGACTGGATGCGTGATACGGAGGCCGTCATCCGGGCACTTGGAGGGTTAACGTTGGACGACGGGCGTCATCTAGGGACTCAAAGAGACATTTTTATCTTGAAATAGCAACCTGAAATCGTCTTTAATCCACATTTAAAGGGGGTATTGTTTTGTGGTGAGAACATCCCCGGTAGCTGTGCTTCAGTATGTTGATTAAAATCTAACTTCAGGTGTTTTTTTATTGTCAAGGGTTGTACTTACAAGATCACATTCGTTTATCCTAGCTTATTTTGCCAGATTCTTTATTTCTCCATAGACCACCGACGGTGGTACAAGAGCATATATACAGTACAGAAATAAATAGAATATGTACATCAAGAAGGTTGTGTGCATTTAGATTAAGCATTCAAAGTGGTAAATACAAATAATATATATTTTGATAGACGTTAAAGCTCGTTTAGTTAAGGTATTGAAAATGGGCTTTTTATTGAAAACACATTTCACCAACTTAAATATCTGCTAGGAATAAGTGAAAGTCGAAATATATAATGGATTTCATCAGCTATTGCGGGGGAGTTACAGAGTGAACATAGACGTTGTTCTCTGGTCAGTAATTTCATTCCAGCACTGTTTTCATTAGTAACTGTGGTGCTAAACAATTTTCTAGGGGTACAATTATCTGAGCCTTTATTAAGCCTTGGTGTATATATATATCTATCTATCTATCTATCTATCTATATATATATATATATATGTAGGATAAAGCACGTTCGAGGGTTTTTATCTGCGGGATAAGGGTGTTAGATATCATAACAACCAGAGGGAAATGGTTTTATCTAACTTATAAACCGAAAAAAGAAACTTAATACAACATTTACCAACATTTATATGTTTTAAACACTTTCCATGAACCTTAGGAAACGGGCGTAAAATATATGTTGCTGGCGTTCAGTACTTGAAAAATACATATAAATTATAATCATTCTTAAAAGCAATATGATTTATCAGGGTCTCTGTAGAATAGTGATACGCTCACTGGGTTACAGATATGAAGGTTCCCGTGTTCCATCCTCGGGAAAACATTTGTCATTGATTTTATATTTTATTACATTGTGTTCACATGCAAAATAAATATCTCGCAAGAAACATTCATATGTTACAATGTAAACGGAAGATGTGTTAATAAAATCCCGGGGATATTACAACATATAACTAGCAACAATCCCCGAGATATTATATAAAATCCCGGGCATATTATAACAGCCCTGTTTATGAGATTTATTCATGGGGTTTTGGGTTAAAAGTCACGGGATAAACCTCGCGCAGAATATAGAATATTAAAACGATAGTCTTTCGTTAAGAGTGGCATGTATGAAGGTTCGCATGTATCGATGTACTGTACTATTTTACTTACATCTACGTATGTGTTTCGTGTAGTGCCTACAAGGCCGAACTGAACTGTCTCGGGGCAGCAAAGACATCTGCTGGCTGCGACGGATCAACTACTAAAAGCGCTATTGCCACTACAGCCGAGACTGAACGCGCAAAATTGACGACTGCCTCAGCCGCTACCTGCCCAGGTAAATCAGCGAACATACACAGACACAACGACGAAAGTTAAGCGTCAATATTTCTATCCATTCGTGACCAATTGGTGTTATTCCGGGACTCGTGCCACTCTCGTTGGCATTTTTTGGGAACTGGGCTCCGTCTAAGCGCTTAGGGCATAGCTAAAAGAATTGTCAACTCGTGAGACTATTTCAAAACCAGATTCACGTATATTTGCCCCATATATCATATATATTGCAGATGCTATTTCAAACACATGGGATTAAAGTTACTATACAGTATCATTGAACACATTTAACTGCATCTTGGGTATAGTTTTAGATACAAGACGTATGTAAAAGAAAGAAAGAATTACCTGATGGATTGTTTGACAAAGTACTTGAAAACATACATGTAGTTTTTTCTTGGTGTTTATTAGCACCAGGCCTTCACTGGTCTTTGGGATTTCCTTAAAGAGGGACTAAACGAGTTGATAATTCTTTTAACTAGGCCCGTTTGCGGTTAGACGGAACCCAGTTGCATAAATGGCCACGAGGACACGAGTCGCTATTCTCCTTGTCCCGGAATAACTGCTGACTCTCCGTGATACAACTATGCACTTTCCACTTTGATGTGATTTTATATTTCAGCTCCGACCAGTACTTGCCAGTGCGAGATTACCACGGCCAAAGCAGACAACAGCGACAATACCAAATACTGCACGTAAGCCCGGCTTCATAACACCATAATCCTGCAATTTCCAGGTTTAATTTATGAGCTACTTTAAAAATGCTTGAAGGATTAGGACTAAATGACATTTTGGTTACTTTTTTGCGGATGTGATTTGGTATTTGGGGAGATGGGGACTGGGGGAGGTTGAGATGGCTAAAATGACATCCAAGTTAACTAAATAATTACTTCTCTTCCCCAGTCAGGCTTTATTTAATGAGACAAAACCCGGAAATTTTCAAAATATCCAGTTTATGAGCAAATCTCTATGTTGTGGTTCGGTGTCATTCCGTGAGAGATAACGAATGTCGTCTCCGTGTTACAGCGTCCTAAAGACCATGGAAACCTGCCTGTCCGCCATCACTAACACCACCGAGGCCGGATGCACCAGCACCACCCAGGCCACCCTGCTCACCAGCACAAGGGCAATGTACAAGACAGAAAAATGTAAGTGTTCTCTTGGACCTTTATGTTATCACTGGAACGTCACTGGGACATGCTATGGTTTTCTTGCCATAACTATCTGCAACCGCAAAACACTTGATGATCTAAACAAAATATTGACATTCCATTTTCAGGTGCTGCAGACCACGTGACTTTTGTGATGACGTCACTGCTGGTCTCCCTGTTGGCCAGCATGTTTCTGTAAAAGCCTCAACCGGTCGTGCATGAAGTCGACAATTTCTCTTTTTTGTCTCTTCTTCAGAATTACTTAAAATGTCATAACAACGAGCATCTATCATATATCCATATCTCTAAGATACTTAAAGATGAATTTTTCTAAGCTTTTTTAATCGCATGACAAATCGGGTTGACTCATGCAAACATTGTACACCTATTGATATTATTACATTACATTACATGATGTGGCTGAAGCTTATGACGTGACCAGCGCTATGTAGCTTGTCACTGACCGCAGAAAACTGACCACATAAATAGAATCTTACGCGCAAACGTTGTAAACTAATATTCCAAACTCCAATTAAAAGACAGATCGACTAATGCTCAGTTAACATAAACTTTATTTAGATTCGTTTAATATCTCAATGGCTTACTGTATACCTCAATATAACAGCAAGACAATGAAACCAATGGAATATTGTTGTTGTTTCTTATTTCGTGCCTGCCTGTAAGGCCTTACACCTTTAGAACATGACATTCACAGCTACAATATACTGAAACACTAGAACATACTTACAATGATACAATTATCCTTCGGATTTCATTCATTTTAGTATTGTACATTATTTGACAAGAATTTCTGAGTTGTATGTTTGTCCTCAGTCACGTGAAGATGTTGGGACGCCATCCCAGAGAACAAAACGGCTGCGATGCACGACGTTAATACCCGTCGTCGTTGCTTATCAACGTTTTCTCAGCATGTAAAACTCGATGACATCGGTATATCTATAAAACTGTCTTGATGTTTGTATATTTCAACCCACGTGGTCCGTGCCCTGATGACGTGTTGAGTTACTGATTGTAAATGTCAGTTGTTCCACTGAAATAAACGGTACTGATCGCGAAAACATGTGTTTGTGTTTATATCTGTTGTTGTTTGTTGTTTAACGCCGCACTCAGCAATATTCCAGCTGTATGACGGCGGTCTGTAAATAATCGAGTCTCGACTAGACAATCCAGTGATTGATATGAACATCGATCCACGCAAAACGGATACATTGACATGCATCGACCAAGTCATCGAGCCTGATCACCCGATCCCGTTAATCGCCTTTTACAAGCATAGTCACCTTTTACGGCAAGCATGGGTTGCTGAAGACCTTTTCTAACACAGATCTTACAATGAGTAAAAATATAAAAACCAGGCTTTGACTGTTGTCAGCAGAACAATATTTATTGCGTAGTTGTATCTAGCCTCCACACAGAAGTCGTAATTCAACATTAAACTAACGTTTTTTGCTTCAACAAAATAAGTAAATGCCCTATCGTATCATTGGATTTTCTGGTTCATCACTTTCTTGACTGGTCTGTTTACAGGTCTCCGTCCCATGACACGCGGCGTCAGGTTACAAACAAACTGTTTTGCGTACATTGTGTAGGACGGGGCATGCTTACCCTTTTCGCGAACACCTGGTGTCATCGCTGATTTTGTGTGATACATTACATATAATTTCCTCCTCTAATTTGGCTTTTACGCCCAATGGAATCTATTTCGGTGGAGATAATCGAGACTGGTTATTCTCTTCTTTGAGAGGCATCTAGAAGTTGAAGTACTTAGTAAGGATACGATATATGGATGAACAAGTTCTTTATAACAACAAGCGTACAGTCGACGAAGTCATCTATGTCCCCCGCCCATTTTAACACGTTATGGTCCCAAACCAGGTAACTGACCCAGCATTTCTCTTAGCCCATGTAGAAATAGCTGCAATGGAAATTCTAAAATAAACATTTCTAAAACTCCTGAATATCAAATGGCACCAGTTCAGTATGTGCTTTATGTATAGACATGCAATGTTTGGCAAGGAAATATTTAACAGTTTATTTGTATACTCCATAGGTGAACCCACCCTATATTAAAACTGAAATCCAACTTGTTGCCATGGAAACGTAAATAATAAAAGTTTATAAAATCCATAAATAGCAAAAGGCACCAGTTCAGTACGTGCCTGGTAGACATGCAAAGTTTTGTAAGAAAGTATTTAACAGTTTTTGAGTTACGCTCCGGAAATAAACACCACCCTTATAGAACCTAAGTCCAACTGGTTGCCATGGAAACGTAAAAAAACAAAAAAATCCTAAATAGCAAAAGGCACCAGTTCAGCTGGTAGACATGCAAAGATTCGTAGAGACATATTTAACGGTTTCTTGGTTATGCTCCGGAAACGATTTCGGGACGCACACACACACGGACGGACGGAACCCATGTCTCTTTCCCCCGCCAACTTCGTTGGGGCGGGGGATACTAAGGAGCGACGTTTCGGTGTAGGTTCTAAAACCGTTTTCAAGCAAATGATGTACAGAGTATGGTTGAAGTTCAACATCAAAAGACTCCAACCGTCAATCAACCGTGCGTATTACAAACCCCCTGCGTACCATCAACTCATCACAGACTCCAATCAGTCTTAATCCTTTTATTTATATTACTATCTTCACCTGTTAAGATGTTTACCTAAAATCACCCGTGTACATCACAGGCAACATTGCAACTACATCCAAATCTACTCTACTGTATAAACACTGCCTCATACCTGTTTATGTGCTCGTCAACCTCAGTACATCACTTGCTTGATAACGGTGTTGGAACCTTCACCGAAACGTCGCTCCTAATTGTAATAAAGTTTGTTGGTTTGTTGTGTAACGCCGCACAATATTCCAGCTATATGACGGCGGTCTGTAGATAATCGAGTCTGTACCAGACAATCCAATGATTAATATCATGAGCATCGATCCACGCTATTGGTATCGATGACATGTATCAACCAAGTCAGCCAGCCTGACCACCCGATTCCGTTAGTCGCCTCTTACGACAAGCATAGTCGCCTTTTACAGCAACCATGTGTTGCTGAAGTCCTCTATTGTAATAAAGAAGTTGTTCATCCACATATCTTATCCGTACTTGGTTATTCTCTGGTGTTGATGTTTTGTATTTTGACGTGTAGGATGTGGCAAGAATTGTTGACAACGTTTTGATCGATAATTGGTTTGAAGACATGTTAGCATGAACATGTACAGATAGTGTGAACTCATCTTGCTTCGAGGAGGAAACAAAAACTATGATATGGCACGTGTCCGAGCACGTGCAAAACGAGGCCAATCGAACTCACTTCTGATTGGTTTGATACCTCGTCGCGATAGGAAGTACAGTAGGGCAGGTTAATTCAACAGCTCGTCGAGGTAGAACGTACACTTTGAACACTGTCATTTAGTTGGGTCGTCGCATAAGGTGAGATTAAATGAGGTTTCAGGTCGCGTCCAAGATTATTGCACTTAAATAGCGACGTGCATGCACGTGTGTGCCTGCTTGTACTAGTCTGGACAAACGATTTTATAGTGCTAGCCCTCTCAGATACCATGCCGCGGTTTAACATGAATACCACACTCAGACACAGTATACTGACTCCGAGCCGACCAGTCCTTGTTTCAGCCCCTTAATGTTGAGCGCCAGACAGGGTAACAACAAGTACCATCCCTTAACCTCTCTTTGTATGACGAGCCGGGGATCGAATCCACCGACCTTCCGCTCTCCGGGCGGGCGCTCTACCACTAGATTTTAACTCACTCACTCTACCACGAGACCGCTGAGGCGGTCCGTCGCAATAAGGAAGCACCATAGAGAGGCGACTAGGCTTGTCGTAAGAGGCGACTAACAGAATGGGGTGGTCAGCCTCGGTGACTTGGTTGGTGCGTGTCATCGTATCCTAATTGCCAGGATCGATGCTCATGATGTCAATCACTGGTCTGTTTTGTCCAGACTCGATTATTTACAGACCACCATCATATAGCTGGAATATTGCTAAACAACGATCAAACAAAAAGCACCATATAGCTAGCTAAGAGAGCTAGAATGTTGATAAGTATGACAAGTGTGACAGCAATAGATTTTGAGAATCAAATTTAGTTAATCTGGTCACATTAACGTTTTTTCATCTTTAGTAAGAGATTCGCGTTTAGTTCCCCGTAATTATTATCTGAAGTACTTCCTCAATTTGTCACGTTTAGTTCCCGTATCACATTGAGGGAAATTCATATTGTAGTTAATTGTTTATATTCCACTGCGTAAGAATAACAGTAATATAGTATCGTCATGCACGGCGGTTTGTGTCAAGTCAGTTTGTGTTTGACACCATGTATGATGACTGGAAGGGATTACTCCGGGTGTCGTTCTGTCGCCACACCATCTCATAGGGGTAAGGTATAGTGGGTTGAGACACTTTGTCCAGTCGTGCCATCTGAAATATATGGGGATCATTCATCACTCACTCATATGAGTTTCACTGGTAAATTATTACCATATGACGGCACTATAACTGCAGGTCTCAAACAAGGCTCATCATTTTCATAGTAAAGGGATCACTTGAATCAGTTCTTGTCAACCTTCTCGGCATGGTAACGTGACCATGCGACGGGTAAGTCCTGACTATCACCTACTCGTCACAGGCTTAGGACAGGATCAAACCACCAGCAGCCCCTTGGTTGTCATCCACCTGTCACAGACTCATCTCCTCTGAGTGAGTGAGTATGGTTTTACTTTTAGCAATATTCCAGCAATGACGGCGGGGGGACCGGAAAATGGGCTTCACACATTGTACACGTGGGGAATCGAACCTGGGGCTTCAGCGTGACGAGCCGACGCTTTGACCACTAGGCTACCCCACCGCCCCTGAAGACAGGGTCCAGCTACTAGCTACCCCCAGGTTGTCACAGCCTCACCACCTATAGAGACAGGGTCCATCCACCACCAGCCCCCAGGTTGTCACAGACTCACCTCCTCTGAAGACAGGGTCCAGCCACTAGCAGCCCCCAGGTTGTCATCCAGTTGATTCAAAGTAGTGGCTCCGATGATGACTGATGGAACAACATCCTTCTGTAGCAGCCAGCGCAGTGACACCTGAGCCATGGACTTGTCTGAGGGAAAAGATAATATGTTATGAAATATAAACTATGTTTACGAAGGCCTTATATGCTGTGCAAAACAATAGGGGGTATTTTGTTTTGAAGTGAAACTACAGGGAAATAACATCAATGTCTTGCAATGAAAGTGAATTTTGAGGCAAGAACATTTCCGAAGAAATCAAGCTCCAAAACAACATTGTAACTGTCATGAATCACGTGACATCGGGCAGCACGTGCAAGGGGTGGTATGCCAGATTTGCGCGCACGGCGTCTACTTGTTATCCCACAACTTACTGCACGTCATTTGAATCAGTGACGTCAGTGGTGTAGGGGAGTGTAAAAATCGACGTTGGGCTAATGTTTTCTGACGAATCGAGGTTCACTCTCTACTTCCATGACCGAAGGAATCGAGGCTGGAGACGTCCTAATGAGCGATACATAGACGTTAACGTCGTACAGCATGATCGTTTTGGTGTTGGTCCATAATGGTATTATGATGACTGGCTGAACTGCGCTCCATATTGCCTGTGGCAGAGTCACAGGTCAATAATATCATTAACATCATTGCACCACTTGTGGTGCCATTTGCACAACGTGTTCGGCAATGTTTCATCTTTCAAGATCATGCACTTGCTCATCGTGCCAGGATTGTGATTTAATTCCTCCAGCAGCAAAACATCCATGTCATGCCATGGCCAACACTCAGTCCAGACCCCCCCCCCCCCCCCCCCATTGAACACGTCTGGGGCGTCATTGGCAGACCTGAATATCAACGTCAAAATCCACAAATGAATTTGGTGTTGCTCTCATTGTTGACTCATTAAAGGTATGCCTGGAAGAATTCGTGCATGTCTGGCCAACATAGGTGGTTTTACCCAATATTAGTGACGTTGGCTGGGAAAAGCAAATTTCGAATTTGACCCCCAACTTCCATAACGATCTAGTGCGCCACCATTACACCAACCATTAGATCTGATCGCCTACTCCCCAGCAGATATGCTCATATCATTTCAATTTGCCAATACGATATAGATAAGAGGATATGTCTTGATGATTCCCACTATCCCCTACTTTATTTGCATAGTATGTCTTACTAGGATTATCCTGTGACCAACAGTCATGCCTACCAACACTGCTAGGTACTATCGCTACTTTTCGTTTCTCGTCTATGATGTGCCCCACACCATGCATGGCCCTTGTCACTACCGTGTGCGTTTGCGATGTCCCGCACTGCATCTATGATGGCCCAGATCTGATCATTCTCTTGTAAAGAATTCCAGCTTCCGGGGTATTTTGTGCTCTTCCAGCCATGACGTCCTGTTGTCGGAGCAGCGTCACGTGTGTACTTCCCAGAAAGAAGACCTCTGTTCAAGAGAACGCCGACATTTTAGTTTATCATAATCATAAAATCCAATCGTATGAGTGAGTGAGTGAGTGAGTTGGGTTTAACGCCGCTTTTAACAGTACTTAGTAGTCCAGTTATATCCCGGCGTGTCAGCATATTGGGGGAGAAAAGCCCGAAGTGATGCAGGTCTCAGACGTTTACCACTTCGGTGAAACCCATAAGCACGGGTATGGTGCTGACAAACCTAGAAACATAATCGGGGCGAACTGTTTGCTTCACGTCAAACAACGCCTTAATAACATGGTCTCACTCACCCCTTCAGGGGCCCCCAGGGCAGCACCCCTAATCCTTCCATCTTACACACTTGGAGAGGTTCGAACTCCGATTCCCGACACGCTAGATTGTACTGTTGCTGGAATATCAAGTGCCACATTGGTAAATACTCTTGTTAATGGTTGGGGATTGATATGCATTATTACCAATAACACATAAGCTCTCTTCTCTTGCTTAAATGCAGTATCTGTGATCAGAATGCGTCATCTACAACGGGGCTGTTGGTGGTATGCTTCAAACCGGTAGACCTCAGCGAGAGGTAGCCTTATGTTCAATGTGTCTCAGTCTGTGATTTGCAGACTTAGGAATAGGTTTCTGCAGACTCACATTCTGAATGATCGGGTCGCACAACACATTCCAGGATCTACTATTCAGAAACCAGGCTTCAAGAAAACCGCCCAAACAGCCAATCATATCGCTGTTCACTTGCGCCAGGTCAACGAGCTCAATTTACTGACCATGCAGACGGTAAGAAATCGACTGCATGCAGCTGATCTGCCTGCTCGGCGGCCACGTGTTGTACCACTGTTCTCAAACGCTTATGGTTTAGAGCGGAGAAACTGGGGGTATAAAAATTGTAAATTATTCAATCTTGCACACTCGTGTCAAAAACTGGACTATGTGGTCCAGACTGGATTATTTAAAGGCCGCCGACATATAGCTGGAATATTGCTGAGTGTGGCGTAAACAACAAACAAACAAAAATTGTTCACCGAAAAATTTGTACATTATTATTCGAAATGTTATTATTGAAATGTTGACTTAGATAATAAATGACAACCACCTTTCGAATCCTAAAAAAATAGGAGTTTTAACATGTAGAATGAAGCCACAGATAAGAGGCTATATTATATAGTAAATTACTCGTGTTATTATGCCCTACCTGTAAGCTAATGAAGGGGTTTATGCCCAACTTGTCTGTGGTACATACTATCTTCTGCAGTTGCCAACCCACCACGTTACTAGCACCGGCGTAGTGCACCTTCCCACACCGAACTAGGTCATGGAAAGTGCGGAGTGTTTCTTCAATAGGAGTTCCATTATCCCAATAATGCATCTGAAACAATCATATGTGGCACATTGAATAAACCTTTTCAAACCTGCATACTGTTACTCCACCCCTGAATATCCGGTTTAGAAATGATACTTACCACTCGAACTTACCACTCGAACTCTGTACGAGACCCGTGAAGATTCCGGGGTAGAATAGGTCTTCAGCAACCCATGCTTGCCGTAAAAGGTGACTATGCTTGTCGTAAAAGGCGAGAAACGGGATCGGGTGGTCAGGCTCGCTGACTTGGTTGATGCATGTCATCGATCCCAATTACGTGGATCGATGCTCGTGATATCAAGCACTGGATTATCTGGTCCAGATTCGATTATTTACAGACCGGCGTCACATAGCTGGAATATTGCTGGAATAAAACAACAAACAAACAAACACTGTTGTACCATGTACACAATTACAGTAGACGCTCAAATAAAGTCAGACTCAATTAGAGAACCCCCTCACCATGATAATAACACATCCTCACAAATTGTAATTAATCGGTGCAAAATAATACCATGCATGAACAAATAATCACTGCGACGTGAACCATCCATGCACTGCAGTCCATACATACCTGTACAGATCCACGCACTGCAGTCAATACCGACCTGCTACAGATCCACGCAGTAGTCAATACATACCTGTACAGATCCACGCACTGCAGTCAATACCGACCTGCTACAGATCCACGCAGTAGTCAGTACATACCTGTTACAGAACCACGCACTGCAGTCAATACCGACCTGCTACAGATCCACGCACTGCAGTCAATAAATACCTGTTACAGAACCACGCACTGCAGTCAATAAATACCTGTTACAGAACCACGCACTGCAGTCAATACATACCTGCTACAGATCCACGCACTGCAGTCAATACCGACCTACTACAGATCCACGCACTGCAGTCAATACCGACCTGCTACAGATCCACGCACTGCAGCCAGTACCCACCTGCTACAGATCCACGCACTGCAGACAATACCGACCTGCTAAAGATCCACGAACTGAAGCCAGTACCCACCTGTTACAGGGCCACTCAGTGCAGTCAATACACACCTGGTACAGATCCACGCACTAAAGTCAGTATACACCCGCTACAGATCTGTGAAGATCCAGGGTAGAATAGGTCTTCAGCAACCCATGCTTGCCGTAAAAGACGAGTATGCGTGTCGTAAGAGGCGACTAACGGGATCGGGTGGTCTGGCTCGCTGACTTGGTTGATGCATGTCATCGTATCCCATTTGCGTGGATTGATGCTCATGTTATCAATCACTGGATTGTCTGGCCCAGACTCGATTATTTACAGACCGCCGTCATAAAGCTGGAATATTGCGGCGTTTAACACTAAACAAAAAAAACAACAGATCCACTTACTGCAACCAGTCCAAACCTGCTACAGCTCCATGCACTGCAGTCAATACCCACCTGTTTCAGATTCATGCACTGCAGTCAATGCCCACCTGTTTCAGATTCATGCACTGCAGTCAATACCAACCTGGTACAAATCCACATAGTCTGTCTGGAGTCTCGAGAGACTGTTCTGGATGTTCTGCACAATATGGCGACGACTCAGACCAACCCCACTTGGCACGATTCCTCTAACCTTTGTTGCAATAACAACTTGGTCACGTGTTTGTCTGAAACAAGTGACAATTGTTAAGTGTCGATAAAACATCATCTGCGAAGCTCATGTCCCTTGCAGGCATTCCTATCTGTGCACCATAAAACCGGTCGACGAAGGACCTGGACATTGAGGCATTCCTATCTGTGCACGATACAACCGGTCGACCAAGGTACTGTACGTTGAGGCATTCTTATGGGTGAATGATACTACCCGTTGACGGAGGTCCTGTACGTTGAGGTATTCCTTTCTGTGCACGATACAACCGGTCGACGAAGGTCCCGTACGTTCAGGCATTTTTGTGGTCGCATAAGATACCACAGCTGTTAACCAGGATCCAAGGTACTTCTCGGACAGTCCCTGTGAGTAGACGTCGGCAGTATCGATGAAGTTCCCTCCCCACTGGACGTAGCGGTCAAGCACCTGGTGGGAGTACTCCTCTGTGGCCTGACTGGGTCTGCTACCCTGAATAAAATAAGACCAATGAGAGAGAGAGAGAGAGAGAGAGAGAGAGAGAGAGAGAGAGAGAGAGAGAGAGAGAGAGAGAGAGAGAGAGAGAGAGAGAGAGAGAGAGAGAGAGAGAGAGAGAGAGAGAGAGAGAGAGAGAGAGAGAGAGACTGTTTTTAGATTTTGAAATTGAATTTCAAACAAACTCGAATTTTAATATAAACTTGAAAGGTGAGTGTATTTTGTCCGTTCAAATGTTTATCCCACGGCAGCGAGAGATAGACGATAATTTTGACGGAATCAGTCGTACGGGCCATAACTGTCGTTCGGAATACCCCGTGTTTACGTTTTCGAGGTTGCATGATTAGAAAACACAGTCCGACTGTCACTTTCATGATCTGGTAAGCGACGCTTTGATTGGTCGGATGAAAGGTCGTTCTGACGTGACCCGTAATGGGATGTCCTCAGATCTTTGTTTTGCCATAGCGAGAACTTAGATATAATTTTAATAAGATTGTTGCGATTTATACAGAAACACGACTTTCAAAGAAAGTTTTTCGTGCATGAATAGCAAGAGTCATTTTCCGAGAAGACATACCTCCACAGTAACATATGTCCAGGGACATCAAAGATTAAAGTGATGAAAGATAAAACTCAACACCTGCAAACTGAAATTGAAATGTTTCGACGCAGTATATCTGCGAAAGGACAGCAACTAAATGAAACTGACAATGTTGAACTATGAAACATACAGTTGACGCTGAAAAAGCCTTTCATTATGAGGACCGCCTCCGTGGTCTAATGGTAGAGCGTCCGCCCGGAGAGCGGAAGGCTCCGATCCCCAGCCGCGTCATACCAAAAGACGTTAAAAGATTGTACTTGTTGTTACCCTGTCTGGCGCTCGGCATTAAGGGGTTAAAACAAGGACTGGTCAGCTTGGAGTCAGTATACTGTGTCTGAGTGGGGTATTCATGTTAAAATGCGGCATGGTATCTCAGTGCGCTAGCACTATAAATCGGCATCAGTCCGGACTAGTACAAGCAGGCACACACACACATACATAAGTTGCATGATTAGCAAACACTGTCCGACTGTCACTTTCATGATCTGGTAAGCGACGCTTTTATTGGTCGGATGAAAGGTCGTTCTGACGTGACCCGTAATGGGATGTTGCTATATATATAACATAAGTGCAATAATCTTGGACGCGACGTTAAACCCCATTTCACCTCACCTCACCTTTCATTATGAGCACTCACCACCCAGGCTTTTCTGGGATCAGCAGTTGAAAAGTGTTAGTCTGACGGTTGGTTGATTGCTTTACGCCGCACTCAGCAATATTCCAGCTATATGACGGCGGTCTGTATATATATAATCGAGTCTGGACCAGACATTCAAATGACTGATATCATGAGCATCAAAGCACCCAATTGGGATCGATGAACACTAACGGGATCGGATGGTCAGACTCGCTGACTTGGTATCCCAATTGCATCGATGCTCAATCACAGGATTGTCTGATCCAGACTCGATTATTTACAGACCGCCGTCATATGTCTGGAATATTTCTGCATTAGTGCGGCATTAAACAACAAACCAACAAAAAAATCTTAACGTGTGTACTTCTCTATACGTTCTATGGTTCACGATTGTTTTGGCGGTGAGTATATTATAATCGTGCATATCGTTACTCAGTGATATTGTCTTGTGAAGTTGCGACGTACCCTATAAACATTAATATTTTAAATATAGGCGATTACTTAATTATTGTTAATTAACGTCTATTTTTACAACACACTGAGAAAGTCAAACAAATCTGTCATCGTCAGTTAAGCCAGAGGTATATACAAAACCGACCCGGAACTACTGTCGATTACTCGAGAAATTGTTACCAAAGTCGATAATTCCAGAGTAGATTCAGATGATACTTTCTTCTACGTATATTACATTATCATATACGTAGATGAAAGTATCTTCTTCCAAGATGCGAGTAGTATGATCTACATTTAGAATTTAAGAATGTGGCAGTAATACGTTTCCATACCTTGGCAACTGACATTAATTATTGTATTAAATGGCCTAATTCAATATGTGCCCAGCTGATTGTTGGTTATGTTCCTCCCGCATCAATTTGTTTTCAATAAAAATATAAAAATAAAGTCCTAGAAAAGTGTGCCCGAGAAACATTTACTGATTTTGTTTGTCTGTCTGTTTATCGTTTAAAGCCACAATCAGCAATTTCCCCGCTATATATGACGGTGCGATCTGGACCAGACAATCCAGCGATTGACATCTTGAGCATCGATCTACGCAACTGGGATAGAATGAACCAACCAACCAAGTCAGCGAACCAGACAACCCGATCCCGTTAGTCGCCTCTTACCGTTACAAGCATAATCGCCTCTTTTGTTAATATTTTTTATGCAGCCCATGACAGTTAACAAGAAAATGCAGCCCGTGAAATATGATTATACAAAATAATAACTTCTGTTAAACATTTTGATAATAAATGTATGTAAACATTAACTGTTATTTACATTGAATATGTATATCACACACGCCATGACACCTCTATTAACAAAATCCGCTCCGACTCTCATAAAAGAGGTTTTAGGCACATGTGTCGCTCCTTCACTCACCCCAGGATTCCCAAAGGTCCCCGTGCCGAGACACATGTTGGCCACCTTCAGCCCTGATCTCCCCAAGAAGTTGTGGGGAAGTTTGCACTCCTCGGGTACAGCTGGCATCTTCGTTGTTGGACGGGTGACTGCCATCCAACTCGCATACTCGTAGGCTAAACTATTGTCAAAGGGAAGTAACTCTACACTGCGTGGTATTCCTTCCTGAGAAAGTGTGTGTAAATCAATCTCATTAAAATCATATCTTAGTTTTCGCTAACGCTAAAGATCTGATTTTAATGAGATTGTGTGTAAATGAAATTTACAAAAAACAGCTAATGTCATGTTACTTCTTATACAATTACCGAATCCTATATTAATATATATTATATAGATGCATGTTTTCCCATATACCTCTATAGCAATGTTACATCGATGTTCTGAATATTTCCTTATTGTACTGCCAAAATGTAGAGGTGTACATTACACAGTCAAAGATTGCAATAAACCACAAAGTACCTAGAGCTACCCTCCCAGCTCGTATTCGAGTACAGTATGCACAACACACACCACAGTTCTACACCAAATGACACTTGCTTGACTTTCTTTGAGGTCACATTCGAATTCAGGTGTAACTGAAGATATGACCAATTCTTCAAGGAGCATATATTAAAAATCAGTTTTACACAGCAAAAAACCCGAATTCTGTTTAGCTTACACTTTCTGTTTATTGATTTCCTGATGGTTTCTGTTTAGTTTACACTTTCTTTTATTGGTTTCCTGATTGTTTCTGTTAGTTTCCACTTTCTGTTTCATGGTTTCTGTTAGTTTCCACTTTCTGTTTATCGGTTTCCTGACGGTTTCTGTTTAGTCTACACTTTCTGTTTATTGGTTTCCTGATGGTTTCTGTTTAGCTTACACTTTCTGTTTATTGGTTTCCCGATGGTTTCTGTTTTGTTTACACTTTCTTTTATTGGTTTACTGGTGGTTTCTGTTAGTTTACACTTTCTGTTTATTAGTTTCCCGATGGTTTCTGTTTAGCTTACACTTTCTGTTTATTGATTTCCTGATGGTTTCTGTTAGTTTACACTTTCTGTTTATTGGTTTCCTGATTGTTTCTGTTAGTTTACACTTTCTGTTTATCGGTTTCCTGACACCTACATATGTAAAGTTTCTTACTGGTTAAAGTCTAGTTATGTTTGGTTTCCTGTTTGTATCCATACTTCTAGTCCTGGTTCGACTATTTACAGACTGCTGTCGCATAGCTGGAGTGAGTGATTGAGTAGGTTGGGTTTAACGCCGCTTTTAACAGTATTACAGTTATATCACGGCGTGTCAGCTTAATGTGGGAGGAAAGCCCGAAGAGATGCAGGTCTCAGACATTTACCACTCCGGTGAAACCCACGAGCACGGGTATGGTGCTGACAAACCTAGAAACAGAATCGGGGCGAACCGGGATTCGAACCCACAATCATAGGTTTCTGGCGTGCCCAAGGGACGCAACTCTGCACAGCGAACCGCGGCGCCTTAGACGACTGGGCCACCCGTGCCCCCTCGCATAGCTGGAATCCCTTGATATTGATAACATATATTGCACTATTACAACTAAGGTTATTCAGTTCATATGTACTATGTATCTTGTATCAACCCATAATGTTACTGTGTACACCTAAACATCTAACATCAGCATCACTTCAGGCGTTCATCCCACATCAAGCTGACACTCCTTCGACATGGCTCACAAACTGTTCAAAGTGGGTAAACAAAAACACACTCACGAGTGTGAACATGGAAAATCGACTTTTAGTAATTTGTTAATATTTTATCACAACAGAGAAAAAGATTAGGGTTACACAACACTTTAATCTAATAAGTAAGCAAAGACAACTTGCATGGTATTCAAAATAAAACATTTCAATAAAAAATCTCTTTTCTTGAATGCACTTTTCAGTTGACAACATACTAGGTAGGTGTTCATGCACTCTCTTCATAATATGAAAAACAAAGGCAAAGGTGAGCGTGGCTCTCGTGTGTCAGTAGTTTCAAATTAAATAGTTAGGATAGGGTTAGGGTTTAAAAAATTCATAAAGAAATGGAAAATTAATAAAAACAATTTTTTTCTATAGTATATGTACTAAGTTTGAGATGAATCCACTGAATAGTTTGAGAGAAATCATGCAGACAAAGTATTCGGATTGACGGACAGACGGACGGAACCTTGGTATAACTATATACCTTGGTATAAATAACTTGGTATAAAAAACCTGTTGTGACTTGTAATTCTCTTTCACCTAATAATATGGAAAATACATGAATTTCAGGAAAACAGGCAACCTGGAAAAGAAAGTTCATTACAAATACAGCTCATTTAAGTGGGTGCAGCAAACATATTCAACTTGTAATTGACAAAGCACACATTTTCAATATTTAAAAGACCAACTCCCTCACTGCATGTGCTGATGATTATGTAAATATGTTTTCCCCTTCGCATAGACTATAGACTTCCTCCTGCCATTTGTGAGTGTCATTGATCCCCACCCTGGTTTCATGAAGGAGAAAAGTTTAATCGGTTTAAACGTTTTCCAGCAGCCACATCCCTTCTATCCGCTGCAATTCTTTTCACCTGTATCTTGAAATACTTTGTTCTAAAGAGACTACATGAAACAGTCAGTGAGCCATACTTACCACAGACAATCTGTCTGTACATTTATGTACCACATTTACAATAGCTGAATAATTTAATTAACATAAACATGCCCCAACTACTTCTACAGTAACCTTAACACTGATTCTTTCAAACATTAAGCAGTGGAGTGAGGTAGCCAGATGTTAAAGCGTTCACTCATTACATTGAAGAACATGGTTTGATACCACACATGGGTACAATGTGTTAATTTCTGGTGTCCCTCTTCATGATATTGCTGGAATATTGTTAAAAGAGGTGCAAATCATACCTACTCACTCAAACATGAAGCAAAATACACATACCATGTACACTATTTGTTCTTTGTGGTAAGGGGCGGTGGGGTAGTCTGGTGGTTAAAGTGTTCGCTGGTCACTCCGAAGGCCAAAATTCGATTCCCCACATGGGTACAATGTGTGAAACCTATTTGTGGAGTCCCCTGACATGATATTACTTGAATATTGCTAAAAGCAACCATATAACCATACTCACTCTTATTAATAAGTCATCTCTCTTGAGAGTGTAGGTAGGATACAAAACCGAGGCCTCAAACATCAAAGTAACTGTTTTGGTGGTCATGTTTTACATCAACATCAAGTTAGTCCCAATAGTGACCTCTATTTTCCTAACACATTGAACCATTGAACAAGTTGAAAACACTTAGCAACTGATGCAAATCTAGACTGTTTCTAATAATTCTATAATCTCCAACTGCATAGAGCCAATCTATACCCTCTGACAAAAAAAATAAAAATAAAAAAACATTGTTTTCGACAAAAAAATATGGTTAGTTATAATATGTTTAAGAACTTCATAATTCTGCTATATATCATATTCAAACATTCGATTAGTAATTAACCATTATTATTAACCTGGACATTTTATTATTTTTCCTTTTGACTAATGTCTAAGTCATCTTAGACAACTGATGAAAGAGTGTGGTAAACAAGAGACATCATTATTCAGGCCTATTCAGGCCTATTCAGGCCAACTGTGGTCCCTTAGCATGTTAAATGGCATGTTGACATTCCATCATTGAACATGTTGAACTATATCCTGAATATTGTTTCTTTGCAGCACTTATTGCGATAATTTATTGTTGATGATCAGGTTGTTCCAACCAACACGAGCAATGAATCATTCTAAGTTTAGGTTTTAGTTAATGAAGTAACATTTAATGAGTGAGTGAGTTGGGGTTAACGCCGCTTTTAACAGTATTTCAGTCATATCACGGTGTGTCAGCTTAATGTCAGCTAATCATAGGTTTCTGGCGTGCCCAAAAGGACGCAACTCTGCACAGCGAATCGCGGCGCCTTAGATGACTCGGCCACCTGTGCCCAAAGTAACATTTAAAAAATATATGTTCTAAACATAATTGTTTTTGGTAAAGACTGATTACTGCCTGGTCATTCTGATAAAGTAATTACTGAAGCATGTGGTTGAACACCTAAAACAATCAACACTTGTATAATTATAGAGTAATTTAGGAAAAGACATAATTTTATCCCTCTCTTCTATCATCTCTATCAACATGACCAAGTCTTTGCAGTTTGAAAATTACTTTCAAATTTTGTGTTTTGAAAATCAGTATGCTAATTTTGTTGCCACTGAAACAAGGAGCATTAATACGCATGAACATATTCAATGTAATGCAGATTGAACAAGTACATGGTGTTGTTTCCTTAACATGTTAAACAGAAGTGTCAAGCTATACCACTACATACATGTACAGCTGATTGCATGAATTAATAGAACCTGTTACCACAGTTAACATGGTCAGGGTGAGGGATTAATATGAGAGTTATTTCCCCTTGAGGAAAGCAATGCTCACGATTACAGGATACAAAACAGTGGCCTCTCTACAGTGCTCAGTTCCAAACTCAGCTTTGTATAACTTCAAAATCAGGTATAACGACATCAGATATGTATATCATATACCTACAGGTCCTGCAAGCCTGTGCTGTGTTTAGTTTATGTACATGTAGCAGTGAGGGAATATGGTTATAGGAAGTATTTGCAGAACTGAATAATTGCATTACCATGGCAGATGGCAAGTCATCACGAAACTATATAGTAGGGACGGTCCCATCCCCTCCAAAAGGACCCCCCCCCCCCCCCTTCCAAAAAAACAAAAAAACAAAACAAAATATACCAAACATACCTGGTAACATTTATTCATGACTCCAACAACCCCCCCACCCCTTCCCTATAATAAATAACCAGTCCCTAAATAATGTTCAGATACATACTTTTTTTTTAATAATTTTAAAACTAGTACTGTCATATTTTCATGCCTTATAGCATGTAACTTTGAAACTAGCTACAAGAGATGACATGGGCCTCTGTGACTGCGAAGTTTGAAGTCCTAAAATTACATTTTAAAATAAGAAGAATGCTTGAAAATAAAATCCCCAGGAAGATTAATATATTGAGTCTTAAAAAGGCA